CGCGGGTGCGGGGAGCCCGGCCGTCCCCCCGGCAGCAGCCGGCTCCCTCCAGCCTGGCTGTGCAGGACAGGCGGAAAAAGGCACGGGACCGTGTGCCGGGGAGCTGCTGGGGAGCTCTACTGCGAAGGCACCTGGGCCTGGCGACCCGGGATCAGCGCCTCCTCCTCTCCCTCAGCACGGCCTCAAGGCAGGTCCGTGCAGCCCAGAGCTGAACCCGGTCCCCAGAGCGCGAACGGAGACACGATGCCCCACCGTGGATCCGGCCTCCGCTCCGGATGGTGCCCCAAGGTCTTGCTACGTGGCCCAGGTGCAACCCAGCGCCTGTGCAGGGTGCGAGAGCCCTGGGGTCTGCGCGGACGCGGTAGGGAGCTGCGAGGAGGGACCTGTCCTGCGTAAGGAGGTGGACGGAGGAAGCTGCGTCTCTCTTGCCAGCCCGGCATCTTTTTCAGCGGGGGAAACATTTGTGCCGCTGAGGGAGCCCAGCGCCGCGCGGCACCGGAGCAAGTTCGGGGCGGAGGATGCCAGCGCATTTGCTGATGTGCATCGTGCTGTCTCGGAGGGGGGAGAGGGAGAAATCCCCGTTCCCCCCTTTCCGGCGTCGCTGCTGTGTGTGCGCCGGGAGTCTGGGCAGAGCCTGGAGCACAGCGACACCAGGGATATTTCGGATGCGCTCCTGAGGGCGAACCATTTCCCCAGCAGAGAGAGACGTGCGGGCTTGAGCTACAAAAACCTGTCGTACGAGTCTTCCTCCGGCGACTCGGACCAGGAACACTTCAGAGGGACCGTGAGCCCCCTGCTTAAATCCAGGGATTCCTCCAGCACGAAATCCACAGGTGCCACGGACACCGGGACCGACTGCGACTCCTCCTCCGTGAGCTTGGAGCAGATGGACGGGTGCAGCGAGGGCTGGAGTTCCCCGGGAGCGGAGGAGGGCTGGTGGCGGGCTGAGCCCGGCGTGCCGCAGCACGGCTGGCCCCTCGGGCTGGGGGAAGGCGACAGCAGGCACGTGCCACCTTACGTCAATATTACGGACGACCGGGGGATCCTCAGGGATTACCTGAACTTCACCGTCACCAGAAAATGCGGGGACGGGGCGGGAATTTTGCAGGCTGCCGAGAGATGCAGCTGTTACGCGGGGCAGTCGCATTTGCTGCGGTCACTGGTGGAGACGTGGAGGGGTTTCGAGGAGGTCACCCAGGACACTTTGGACATGGAGTGCCTCCGTTTCCATTATAAGCTAAAAGAGATCCTGAGGAGCAGGAAACCACCTTTTTCTACCTCCGAGAGCATCTTTCCAAAAGACTTTCCTCCCCAGGTAACGGCTGAGCCGTGTCCTGGCAGAGAGGCGCCCGCCCCGCTCTCCCCGCGCAGCAGGAGCCCTTTGCAGGTGACGCTGCTGCCTTCGGACATGAGGCCGGC